AACTTCTCGTTTGTGAGCAATGTTGTTGTTCTTGATACAGAATCAGATCTTGGTTCCTGCCTTCGTAATCAGCCATGATAACCTCATATCCACCCACAGCAGTTTTTAACCTCTTATATCAGTCGGAGGTTCGGGAAACAGTTTATACTCGTATACCCTTTGGAGTGCATGGAGAAGCAGTTTATACTCGTATATTCTTTAGAGTTACGTGGAGAAACATTTATACTCGTATACTCTTCGGAGTTACATGGAGAAATAGTTTATACTCGTATACTCTTTGGAGTTACATGGAGAAGCAGTTTATACTCGTATACTCTTTGGAGTTTATGGAGAAGCAATTTATACTCATATACTCTTCGGAGTTAACGGAGAAGCAGTTTATACTCGTATACTCTTCGGAGTTCATGGAGAAGCAGTGTATACTCGTACACTCTTCGGAGTTAATGGAGAAGCAGTTTATACTCGTATACTCTTTGGAGTTCATGAAGAAGCAGTTTATACTCGTATACTCATCGGAGTCAGGGGAAACAGTTTATACTTGTGTACCCAATGGAGTAAAGGTCGTCTTTATTTGGCTTGTTTTGTCGTTATGACGCCGGAGTCAATTAAGGCTTGGATTTTGTTTTTAAGTCCAAAGCAAACCTTGCTGGGATGAAGAACCCTTTTGTGGTATGCACAGTAGTTTGGATCCATAATCCTCTTAGCTCCCTCCTGATCTTTAATAAGTGTTAGCTCGATCTTGTCGTTGGCAAGGAGGTATTTCAAGATGGCTGGAACTTCATTATCTTTGAAAGAATACTCCTTTTGGAACTTCGGATCGGAAGTCTTCTGTTGCCTCCGTGGTTGCTGTTGTGACGTTTGATTAGCGTTCACAGCGATTGCAGATGTCGTCGGTTGGCTTCTCTCAGCTTTCTTTCTTTTAAGAAAGTATTCAGCTTGTTCACCGCGTATTTTCAAATCCTTCTAAGTTTTAGATGGTATGACCCCCAGAACTTCCAGGACATCGATAGAGAGATTATTGTGGCATGTTTGTAGGATGAACTCCTCTGTAACAGGATCTTTACAATTCATTGCCTTGTTACGAAAGCGCTTGACAAAATTATCGACTGACTCTCCGTCTTTTTGCTTCTCATCCAGAAGAGTTCCTATTGACACTTCAGTGTCATCATCGAAGAAATTACTGAGGAACAAGCTTTCCATGTCATCCCAACAATTGATGCTCCCTAGCTTGATACGTTGATACCAATCAAAGGCCGCCCCACGAAGGGTCCCCACGAATGACCAGACCATCAAAGTGTCGTTTCCGGAGATTACACCCAAATGAGACTTGAAATAAATCAAGTGTTGAGTGGACGAATCTTTCCCGTCAAATGGAGTGAAGTTAATCAGACTGAATTTCGGGGGGTAAGGAATTGAATCCCACTCCCTTGGATACGGGCACAGAATATTCGTTTTCTTCACTTCTTGAGCTGTCATCAAAGCATTGACTTTGTTTTCAAGCTCCTTCATTTTCTCGTCATCGTCTACATCTTCATTCGAAGGACGTTGAGGAGAATGAGTTGGACCACTCCCTACATTTTTATTTTTAAGGGGGTATGCACAGTAGTTTGGATCCATAATCCTCTTAGCTCCCTCCTGATCTTTAATAAGTGTTAGCTCGATCTTGTCGTTGGCAAGGAGGTATTTCAAGATGGCTGGAACTTCATTATCTTTGAAAGAATACTCCTTTTGGAACTTCGGATCGGAAGTCTTCTGTTGCCTCCGTGGTTGCTGTTGTGACGTTTGATTAGCGTTCACAGCGATTGCAGATGTCGTCGGTTGGCTTCTCTCAGCTTTCTTTCTTTTAAGAAAGTATTCAGCTTGTTCACCGCGTATTTTCAAATCCTTCTAAGTTTTAGATGGTATGACCCCCAGAACTTCCAGGACATCGATAGAGAGATTATTGTGGCATGTTTGTAGGATGAACTCCTCTGTAACAGGATCTTTACAATTCATTGCCTTGTTACGAAAGCGCTTGACAAAATTATCGACTGACTCTCCGTCTTTTTGCTTCTCATCCAGAAGAGTTCCTATTGACACTTCAGTGTCATCATCGAAGAAATTACTGAGGAACAAGCTTTCCATGTCATCCCAACAATTGATGCTCCCTAGCTTGATACGTTGATACCAATCAAAGGCCGCCCCACGAAGGGTCCCCACGAATGACCAGACCATCAAAGTGTCGTTTCCGGAGATTACACCCAAATGAGACTTGAAATAAATCAAGTGTTGAGTGGACGAATCTTTCCCGTCAAATGGAGTGAAGTTAATCAGACTGAATTTCGGGGGGTAAGGAATTGAATCCCACTCCCTTGGATACGGGCACAGAATATTCGTTTTCTTCACTTCTTGAGCTGTCATCAAAGCATTGACTTTGTTTTCAAGCTCCTTCATTTTCTCGTCATCGTCTACATCTTCATTCGAAGGACGTTGAGGAGAATGAGTTGGACCACTCCCTACATTTTTATTTTTAAGGGGTGCAATTGAACCACCCCCAGTGTTATTGGGGGGTGTGTCAGCCATGATGACTTCGTCTACTTCTGGATCACTGTCATCTGTGTCATTTTGAGTGTGGTGGCTGGATTCAGCTCGCTGACTGGACTCAGGAGGTTGAAGTCGTTGAGCTTATAATTCTCTCATTTGTTGAATAGCCAAATCCATCTCCGTCTTCATCTTAGCTCTAATTTCTTCACGTTATTTGGCTAGAACTTCTTGAAGCATTTGAGTAAATTAATCAGGGGTGATTGTGAGCACTTCTCTGGTTTGCCCTGTGCTAGATATTGTATCATCAGAAGCAATTGCTGAACAAGTTTTCGAAAGTTCATCCTCCAAGGACATCCCTTCATGCATTCTCTTATAATCCCTACGTCTGATGGCTCCTAATTGGAGTCGAGACATCCGTTGAGCAATTCTTGGATTGACTTTTCCTCCTGGGGAAAAGTCAGGATTTGAGTCACTTGAATGACGTTTAGACTTTCTTTTATCAACCATGTTGATGGTGACTTCAGGGAATTCATCATCTTGGACAGCTGATCTTCTCACTACTGTAAAGGGGACTATTGGCGACGGACAAATCCGTCGCTAAAAGTCGAAAATCCGTCGCTAAATGTTTTAGCGACGGAAAAAAAGGAATTATGTCGCTAAAAAGCCGTCACTATTATAAGGGTAGGTAAAGCGACATTTAGCGACGGACTATCCGTCGCTAAATATTACCGACGGTTATATAGCGACGGAAAATCCGTCGCCAAATTCTATACTTTTTGGCGACGAAAATATCCGTCGCTATATATTTCCCGTCGCTATATATATTGGCGACGGATTTTCCGTCACCAAAAGTTGTATTAGTGCATGTCTGGCGTGTCAGTTTTCCGTCGCTAAAAGGACTTTTAGCGACAGAATATCTGTCGCTAAAAGTAATCTGAAATTTTTTTTAAAATTTTTTTGAAAATTAGAAATTCCTGTACAATATTTTTCACAACAATAATATGTACAATAAATTTACACAACACAAACACATATAACACATATTTTCATTCTCACGCATATATAACAATTATTTCACTAAAAACATAATAAAAACATAATAACAATTATTTCACTAAAAACATAATAAAATCAGTCCCGATCATAATAAAATCAGTCCCAACATTATAAATATTATTTATACAGCACACCCATTGTTTTCAATGTTAAAACAAATAAAATCAGTCCCGATCATCATCATCCTCATCACCAACTCCACCTTGTCGAGAAGTCCCAGCCTAAAAATATAAATAAAACGTTATAGAGCAATACGTACATCATCAAAAACTGAATTTTACAGTAAAGTAACAAATTATAAAACAACAAGGCATGACATGCAAGTATAGCAATAATAGAGTATCATGGCATATTCTTACATGTTATATGATTCAGAGAGTTTATGTATTATACGCAAGCACGCACATGTTTTTAACAATGCACGCACACACTCTAACCTCACCCGCACACACGCACGCACCCGTACCTATCTCCACCAACACGCACACACGCACACACACAATACAACACATAGTTGTGTTTCGGAGAGAGATATAGTTTGTGTGTAACAGTTTGTGTGATATCATTTAGTCACATGGCATACTCATAACTAAGTAAGAATTTTATATTTAATTCATTTAATTAAAAAAGAAATATATATATATATTACCTGATCCGCCAAAAATCGTCTCCTATATGCCTCCTGAGAATCAGAAGGCAGAGTCGATATGAACTGGGCGAATTCCAGCTCCCTCTGCTCCCGACGCCTCCGTTCTTCCTCCGCCATCTGGAGTAGCTCCGACTCCTGACGCAACTACCAATCTTCCATCGCTTTCATCTGCTGCTCTATAGTCAGGTCTTGAGAAGAACTGCATCCTGGTGGAGCTGCAGACTCGTAGGTGCTACTGGACTCGTACGGCCGATGCTCGGATCCTCTCCACCTGTATCTGTTCTTCCTACTCGGTCCAATGACCGTCTCGATGATGCTATCCTCCTCCTCTCTACTTAATCGGGTCGGAGTGTTAGAATCGACCTGAGTCTGTGATAATTGCTCCTGCACCTTAGCATGTAATTTCTCCTGCGATATACCAAAACAACCCGGTCAATTCTAACACATTTAAAATGCATTGTTATAAAAATTAAATATACAAATTAACTGCTACTTACAGCCAGATCCCGGTTCTGCGCTTTCTTCACTTCATCGGCGTAATTTGGACTCCAACCAGTCAGAATACGATCTGCAAAATGCCCGAGTTCTCCCCTTCCCTATTTTATTCACATATATCATTAACTCATAACACATAAATTATACTCAAATTGATAACCTAAGAGCTAATATATTATATACCTCAAGCGCCAATTGATGATAATGCTGGCTGAAAGACCTGGAGCCCCCGTGATGCTCGTAACTGCGGGGCGCATTGCGGTTCCTCCTTGCTGTTTCAGCTTGATCCTGCAAAACAATGTTAAACAGATATAATATAGAATTTGAAACAATAAACGAAAATATATACTTCAATAATACCTAAATTTCGGCCGTGTCCCAATAATCGCAAAGTGCAAAAAAATCTACTCCATCTACGCGCTCGTCAAGATGCCAGTAACGCTCCCAATCTTCTGTTCTTTGAATAAAATATTTTTTCTTCGGCTCAAACCGCCACCTCTTGAACGATAGATTGATTTGAGTGAAGCAGTAAGTCCAGGCACAAGCGTAATCGTCAAGAAAGAAAAATCGCTTCAGCATACAATGAAAAAAGAGATACAAATCAGTGTGTTAAACAAAATAATAAAATGACTAATAATTATGAGAATTAAAATAAATGACTCACACATATATATCGCCAACAAGCCACCAGCGCATCAATCCGCTGCGACTTCCACGTCAAATATATGTTGAAGAAATCATGTCTCCTGGCTAAAGCGGCGAGGAAATTGTTGAAAGAGTTAGCAAATGGCCCGACAGGCACGCCGTTCTCCCATCGGATCACGACCCTCCGATGAATATCTGGGATGAGGTTCTGTGGCTTGGTACCACCGCGGCCGCGCCTAGTAGGTCGCTCGGTACCTACAAAAAAAATGAAATTCAGGTGAAATATAAATCAATCAATATCGATAATACAAATTAAAATATTAACAGATAAAATATAAAATATCTGGGACGAGGTTCTGTGGCTTGGTACTACTGCGGCCGCGCCTAGTAGGTCGCTCGGTACCTACGAAAAAATGAAATTCAGGCGAAATATAAATCAATCAATATCGATAATACAAATTAAAATATTAACATATAAACTATAAAAATCTATACACACCTTTCAATTCGAGGCATCTACGCCTTGCTTGTTCATACCTCTGCTGTGCGATAAGTCGCAAATCATGATAAGCATCCCAATCCTCCTTCACCTTGGCCGGGTCGTGGGCTCGCTGATCCGGAATAGAATCCGGCGGTAGTGGCGCAGCTTCTACAGCTGCGCTATATGGCTCATATCGGCGCTCCTCCAATACATCTGCAGCCTGAGGAGGCGACGGCGGCATCTCTGCATGCTGGGCAGGATCAACGAGTGTCTCCGCATCAGGTGGAGCATCTCCTCGTCCTGTGTCCTGTGGCGGCCCGTCATGTGTAGCAGCGATGCGGCCTGCGTAGGAAATGTGAAAAAATAATGTTAGGCTCGTATTAATAGTTTATAGAAATGTACAGATATAATAAATAAATAAAAATACCTGACGTAGAGCCATGTGCGTCGCCTCCAGAATGTCTACCAAAAACTCTCTCAAGCGCTCTCTTACGTAATCCTTTTGTCATCTATACTTTGAAAACATAATGAGTACCCAACAAAACTATAATACATGACAAAAACTGATACATGATAACCAGTCAAACAGATAATATAAAGGCAATACTATAATACATGACACAAACTGATACATGTCCTTATGATGATGTTGAGGCTCTACTCTGCGACCGTGTGCGGTTAGCCTGCGACCGTGTGCGTGCAGACAAAAGGACTGTCCTTATAGTTTTATCGACTCTACCGTGGACTCGTTTTTTGATTTTACGCCTTGGCTCACATATAATCGCAGGTACATCAGGGCGCGCCAGTGCAATTTCATCCACCAGATTATTTTGTGTCAATGAAAACTCAGCAACTGTTTCGTCGGCCAAGATAACATCTTCATGATCTTCGTCAGACACGGCTTCATGAATGTAGGATCTAGGCGGATTCTTAAGGACAACCCATTCGTCATTTTTCATTATATCTTTGACATAAAAGCACTGTTTTGCGTGAGCAGCTAACATGTACTTTTCAGTCTGATATATTTCCTTGTTAAGATTAACGAGTGTGTAACCGTAGTCATCCTTCGCCTTTTTCAGCTCACTCCAACGAACCTTAAACATCACATGTCTGACTTCATTATTAATCCCATAGAAAATCTCCACAATGTCTTCTACCTGACCGTAGCAATAGATTTCACCTTGTATCGGATTTAGATCTTTTGAACTAGCGTATGACAGTTGCGAGAAGGAGCAGAACACACCGCTATTTTGCGTTTGTCGTCTCTCTTCGAAACCGATGGTGTTAAACCTAAAGCCGTTGATACAGTAGCCTCCATAACGCTTAACCACGTTAGAAGGACCTCTGGCATATAAACATATTTTCTCAGACAGGTTAACCCCATTCGTAATACGCCGGTCAACCTTTAGGAAAAGAAACATATAAAATATAAATATCTGTTGGCAGGCACATATTTGATATACGAATCAGAAATGTAAATAAATCTTACTTCACCCTTCAGCCATGCAGGGAATTGTCTAGAGTGTGTGTCCATAACTCTTTTATTTTTTGCTCTTTTATTTTTTGTTCTGCATTTAAGAATAGTCTGGACATATCGGATGTGAAGCCTAGAATAAAATCAATTATAACAGTTAAATAGAGATAGTTATTGTGATATGATATGATCTGATTCAAACAGTTAAATACTTACGCCGCGTATATGTTAAATGTAGTATCATTGCTCAAGATATATGTGTGGGCTTGATCTAGCTCCATTCTGGGGAATCTAGTGTCCTCCCCACGATCATTATAGAATGTTCCGTCAATTATTCGTTGGGGACGGTTGAGCCTTGTCTCCACACCCCGCAAGTAACGAGAGATGAAATTCAAACTCTCATTACTTATATAGTTCTCTGCTATCGATCCTTCAGGACGTGCACGATTATGCATCAAATGTTTCATGAAACCCAAATACCTACAAGCATATAGTTTCATGATTTGTGACAAAATAAAACTGAGTAACGTAATTTAACAAATACTAATTGAGCATTATAATAATAAATACCTTTTCACAGGGTACATCCAACGATATTGAACTGGTCCTGCGATGCGGGCTTCATATGCTAAATGTATTGTGAGATGCACCATGACCGTAAAGAACGAGGGTGGAAATAGAATTTCTATTTTACACAGTGTATTGGCTACACGTCCCTCTAATTCTTCAAACTCCCTGACATCAATCACCTTGGAGCACAACTGCTTGAAGAAACCGCAATATTCTATTACCACCATCGCGAGTTCCTTCTCAGCATGTCGCAACGCAACCGGGAGAAGTTGATGCAATAGAATATGATGGTCATGTGTCTTGAGTCCCAAAATTTTCCTGTCCTCAATATGCACATTTGCTGAAATGTTTGAAGCATAACCATCCGGTGTCTTCACGGACTTTAGAAATAAACACATATTGTGGATCTCATCCTTCGACAGTGTGACACGGGAGGCTGGGAGTTCAAACTTTCCGTCACCCTTATCTATAGCTTGCAGTTCGGGACGGATGTTCAATTCTGCTAGGTCTCGACGTGCCCTTAAGTCATCTTTTGATTTTTTTCCCGTCCTGCAACAAAGTGTTCAAGAGATTCTCGCATATGTTCTTCTCGATGTGCATGACATCCAAGTTGTGACGTATTTTTAAACTTCTCCAATATGGCAATTGATAAAATATGCTGAATTTTGACCATCCATGCGGAAGTTCAGTACCCTTAGAGACACGCCCACGCGATTGGACAGTGCGAGGTTTATTTCCTTTCAAATTGCCTTTGAGAAATTGCTTACCCTTTCCCCTTCCCTTCCAATTTTGCTTCAATATTTTTCTCCTAACCCCAAATGGATTTTCTTTGTTGAATCTTTTCTTTCCAAATATTTTTTTAGGTAGAGGATGTAGAAGCTCAAATATTTCTTCCCCGGTCAGCCTTGGTGGTGCCGGTCTGTTTTCTGGATTGCCGTCGAACTTTCCTACTAACTTTCTGAACTTGTGCCCTGTAGGTAACCATCTTCTGTGTTGCCAATAACAGAACTTGCGGCTGTATTTCAGGAACTTTCCCTCATAATCTGACATGCAAACCGGACAAGCAATCTGACCCTTCGTCGACCATCCAGACAGGTTAGCGTATGCCGGGAAGTCATTAATTGTCCACATGACCATTGCCCGCATACAGAAAGACTCCTTACCATAAGCATCATAAGTGCTGACACCTTTTTCCCAGAGAAGCTTCAGGTCGTCAATTAATGGTTGGAGGAAAACATCGATGTCATTTCCAGGAGAATATCTTCCAGGGATCAAAAGTGACAGTATCATGTACGGTTGCTTCATGCACATCGACGGGGGCATGTTGTACGGTGTCAGCAACACTGGCCAGGTAGACCAAGCAGAGCTCATTACTCCAAACGGATTAAATCCGTCGCTAGCAAGCCCCAGCCTAATATTCCGAGACTCCTTACCAAAGTCAGGGTATATACGATCGATGTGCTTCCATGCCTCACCATCAGCAGGATGTCTCAATTTCCCGTCCTCTTTACGATCGGTCGAATGCCATCGCATATTCTCAGCCAGCTCGGCAGACATATAAAACCTCTGCAGCCTAGGAATAATTGGAAAATATCGGAGAACCTTCACAGGGATTCTGCTCTGTTTATTGGATGATATGCCTTCAGATGTGCCCGTATGTTTTTTCCAGCGTGATACATGACACGTCGGACATTCCTCTAGACCTTCATTACCCTTATTGTACAAGATGCAGTCATTAGGACAGGCGTCTATCTTTTTGTAATCAAGACCCAGGGTATCAACAATCTTGTGAGCTTCATAATAAGTTGTGGGGATGCTCTTCTCGCCGCCTGGAATGACTTTCCTGAGCAAGTCTAATAACATCTCGAAATGTGTAACAGCCATCCCACTGAGTGTTTGGATATGAAGAAGCCTCAGCATAAAAGAAAGCCTTGTGAACTCGGTGCAACCCTCGTATAACGGTGACTCGTTTTCTTCAACAAGTCTCATCAATCGGGCTACATCTTGAAACATATCAGTAGTGTTAACATCACTCGAAGACGGCACGGTAAGAATATCTTCCAACATATCAGTTGTGTCAATTGTCGGATTGTCGACATCAGTAAACTCTTCCTCTAATTGCATCACCTGGACGCCTTCACCGTGATGACTCCAAAATACATAAGAGCTATCAAATCCATTGATTGATAGATGGAAACTCCTTCACCGTGATGACTCCAAAATACATAAGAGCTATCAAATCCATTGATTGACAGATGGAAACTTACGTCACTCCTAGTGAGCATTTTATCATTCCTACAATTCTTACAAGGACAAAAAATCAACCCGCTGAGTGACCGTAGAGGGTTGGTGTCAGAGTAGGCTAAGAAAGCTTCTATCCCATCCTTGTATCGAGTGTCTAGATGCCTTCGATCACGTGGTATGCCCATGAACGATTTGTCAGGAATTGTCCGCATCTAGAATTTAAAAATTAATGGAAGTGAGCATATCCCTACATATATCATTTTAAGTTATAGGACAAGTGTGTGTGATCGGCTGTCAGAGGAAGGCTTCTATCCCATTAGGGATGTAAACATAGCGTGTATATGTATTTACGTGTGTTCAAGTGTACTTTTATTTCGTTAAAATTTCGGCAGTACCTACCCGCTGTTCTCCGAGTACACTATAGTACATGGAGAACAACGAGTAAGCGCCGCCGAAACTCTGACGAAAAGAAAGTACACAAGAACACACGTCAATACATATGCACGCCATGTTTACATACCTAACCCGTCCAAACTGGACAGATCCAATAAATATTTATATATAAGCCCTCCGTCACATACGAGTATGGAAAGGTTATCGGACCGAACACGATGGTATCGTATCCGCCAACAATCCTGTACGCGTATGTGACAAGTAAATAAAGAGATTATATATAGTATTTATTGGACGGGGTATTCTACGGCTCGAAAATATGAGTGTACAGTGTGTGCAATTTCTATGTAATTAGCGATATAATAGTTACGATAAACCCTCACAATCACCTCACCCTCATTGTAACCATCACCCTAACCCGAACCCTAACCCTCACCTTCACCCTCCCCTAACCCTAAACCTAAACCTAACCTAAAACTCACCTCAAACTCACCCCCACCCCCACCCTAACCCTCACCCTCAGCATCATCCCCACCCCCACCCTAACCCTCACCCTCAGCATCACCCCCACCCTACCCCTACACTAATCCTAACCCTAACCCTCAACCTCACCATCACCCCCACACTCACCCTCACATAACCCTAACCCTCACCCTCACTTTCACCTCCTAACCCTAACCTTAACCCTCACCCTCATCTAACCCTAACCCTAACCCTCAACCTCAACCT